AGACGGGAGATATCTGGCTCTTCCACACCTCTCAAGATGCGGGCAACCAAGATGGGGCCATCGTAATGGCCCGCACTTCAAGCGACAATGGCAAGACGTGGTCATCGCCCCGCTATCCCCTGAAAGGTGTCACTGGGGCTTTTGTGCGCCAACCTCTCGTCGTTCTCGGGGATGATACTTGGGTCCTTCCAGTTTTCCACTGCAGATCAACACCAGGTCAGAGGTGGATTGGGAACAATGATATCTCTGCGGTGTTCTACTCCAAAGACGAGGGTCAAACATGGATAGAGAATGTGGTGCCTAATAGCATTGGCTCTGTCCATATGAATATCATCGCACCAAAGAGCGAAGGTTCTGAATATGTAGCATTCTTTCGCAGTCGGTGGGCAGACAATGTCTACCGTTCAACATCGCCAGATGGCCTGAACTGGGCTCCTCCCAAGCCGACATCTCTTCCGAATCCCAACAGCGGTATCTGCGCCGCACGGCTAGCATCAGGTAAACTGGCCATCGTATTCAACCGCTCCTCCGCCGAGCCTGACATGGCCAAGCGAGAGGGCCTCTATGACGACATCACACCCGAAGATGACAAGAGACCGAATCAAGCTTCGGTGAATGGCAAAAATGCAATTTGGGGAACCCCGCGTAAAACGCTTACGGTTGCTGTGTCCAGCGACGATGGATTGACATGGAAGGAGAAGGTCCTTGAGGAAGGCGATGGGTTTTGCATGACGAACAATTCCATCGAGAAGACGAATCGGGAGTTGAGCTATCCTAGCATCTTTGTTGAGAAGGAAAGTGTGCATGTTGCTTTTACATTCCATCGCCAGTATATCAAATATGTTAGAATAGGCGATATAGAGGGTTGGGTAGATCAAGCATAGCTTCACATGGCTGAGGCCTAAGGGTGGCTATGAAAATCACGATCGTTATGCTTCATGATTAATGGCTGCACTTCATGCTTTGTAGAGAATTCGTCTCAACTTTATTCACCTCTAAGAGGACGACCTGGGAAACATGATGGAGTAGTACTTCTTGACTTGCAAAACGAAATTAAACATGTGTTACTCGATGCTCGTCACTGTAGCGAACGCGTGCTGAACGATCTTAGTTGAGGTAGTAATCCATTGAACTTAACGAAATCTGATCAATGATCTATTGCTAAAGTGACTATTTGCTCCACGACCTTTGCTTTTCCGTCTCTCCGAGTACACCGAGTGTTTCTAAAGCCCATATCTTAGTTGCGTCGCCGAGTGGAAGATACGGCCGCCTCATCTCCCACGATGACTCGTCGGTGAGCCCGATATCGCGACCAAAGAAGTGCCAGGCACCGTATTTTGTCAAGGCAATTCCCTTCTTACAAGCCCATTCCGCGTTTGCCACATCATATTGCAGTTTCAGGGACTCATCAGCCTTCCCATCCTTCCACAGGTCGTACACTGCTGACGTTGAACCGGGAAAGATGTTTCCCATGCCCGTTACGCAGCCACTTCCTCCAGCCTGTAGCGTTGGAAGAAGGTAGTCGCTGCTGCCACCAAAAACACCAAATTGCTCATGTGTAAACTTGCTGGTCAAGCGAGTCACCTTGCCGACGTTACCGCAGGTCAGCTTCACAGCCACGATGTTGGGATGCGACGCGAGAGCAGTAATCTGGTCGGAATCGAGATCCACGCCAGACGTGACGCCAGGGAAATTGTAGATGACAATCGGAATAGGAGAGTTATCCGCAACATCTCGGTAAAATCCCAATATCGCGTCACTTGATAGGGCTTTAGCCCAGTAGCTGGGCGGGAGCAAAAGTCCAAAGCTTGCGCCCGCTGCGCCGGCATCTTTGGCGTTGAGGACGGCTTCGCGGGTAGATTCTGCAGATATGCCAGCTACAATAGGGTAGTCAGGCTTTCCAAGGTCTTTGACAGCGCGCACCGCTGTTTGGAGAATAGCCTTGCGCTCGTCTGCTGTCAGAAGAACGAGTTCGCCGTTGGTTCCGAGGTAGACGAGACCGTGCATACCAGCGCGGACTAAGGCTTGACATTGCTTGTAAAGTGCGTCATGGTCTACGGGTTGCAGAGGATCGCCGGCTTTGTAGATTGTGACAACGGGGGTGTAGACCCCTGGCGGGAGGGGCTTTGACTTGGGTGCGATGGTGCTGGAAGGCATTGTGAAGGTGTTTGCAAGCGTGAGGAGAAGGAAATGATACAACACAAGCTAGATCCAGCAGAAAGATGATACTCGTGATCTTGGGACGTAATTGAATATGAGGAATGGGATGCGTGCCATTTCACTTTTGGTCGGGAAAGTCAACCCCTCCTAATATTCGACTCCAATTCTGAGATGCGGAGATAGTCGCGGAAAGACTTCCTCGGCCAGCTTATGGCGAAGAATCACATCCCACACGGCTTCTGCTCCGATCACGCAACCAGCTTGCTCTTTCCTACCTGCATGGAAAACCTTCATCCAGTGGACCAGTAGTAGCGAACATGTTTGAGGATTCGTAAGAAGTCATGTGGTTACGAGCAAGAATCAAATCCTCCTGGCGATGGTCGCTTACCCGCTATCCACATCGGCGAGAATGCCGAAACATGGGGAACGAGCGTGCGGAGCTTACAGGGGTGGCAAAGCACCGGCCGGAATGACGGGGATGTCGCGATCTGTGAGGCGATCCGAGATGCCATTAGGTCTCAGACAAACGCGGTGTAGGGGTTAATAGGGTTTGACGGTGGCTGTGGCAACTTTGGGAATTGGTAAATGGGATCTAAACATCAGGCTACACCATTTTCAACGTCCTTGACCAAACACCCTCTCGCAAAAGAGATCTCAGGCGCCTTGTTACTAGTAGACTTTCGGAATGTGTTTGTAAACCGGCGAGAAGCGAGTCCGACCGCCAGCAATTTTCGAAACACAATGACGACAAAGCCAGAGGAGAGTGAGAGAGCCACGATAAGTGTGACTGATCTCAGCAAGCACAACACCAAGTCGGACTGCTGGATAGCAGTACACTCCAAAGTCTGGGATATCACGGACTTCATCAACGAGCATCCGGGAGGTCCGTCGGGTGAGTCTAGCACAACCTGCTAGTCTAGGTCTTTGGGAAACTGACGAATGAGCACTTGTCAGTTCTTCTGAAGTGCGCTGGCTCAAATGCCACAAAGATATTCGATGAAGTCCACGCACCAGATATCCTGGAGGAGCTACCAGACGAGAAGTTCATCGGCATACTGAAAGATGCCACTCCAGACGTGCCTGCAGCAGCATCGCAACCAGAGGGTGTTAATGGCACATTATCTGCCCCCGCCGAGACTTCGAAGCACTCTTCTGCCGACGAAGACACCATCCCGCCTCTAGAGTCCATTATCGGTGCGCCAGATCTAGAAGTTGTGGCCTCGAAAGCGCTGACGCCAAAGACATGGGCCTTCTACTCATCTGCGGCTACCGATCTGATCACACACCGAAACAATAAGCAGCTCACAAGAAGAATTATGATCCGGCCAAGGATTCTAAGAAATGTCTCGTATATTGATATGAAGACGAACATTCTTGGATTCGAAAGCTCGGCCCCGTTCTTCATCTCGCCTGCCGCGATGGCAAAGCTTGTGCATCCAGATGGCGAGCTGGCTCTCAGTCGCGGTGCAGCAAATGAAGGAATTATTCAATGTGTGAGTATCCAACAGAAAGCAGCCGATAGGTGCCGCAGCTAATCAAGGGCATTAGATTTCGAGCAATGCATCCTACACCCTCAAGTCTATCGTATCCGCCGCGCCGCCGTCACAGCCCTTCTTCTTCCAGCTTTACATCAACTCAGAACGTCACAAGACGATCGAGATCCTCCGATCGGCACGTGCACTGGGCATAAAAGCAATTTTCGTGACCGTCGATGCCCCCGTCCCTGGAAAGAGAGAGGCAGACGAGCGTGCAGCTCAAGCAGGAACGATCCGAGCAGCCATTAGCGGCGCTGAAAGTAGCAAGGACAAGAAAGGCAGCGGACTCGGCCGCTTAATGGCGCAATACATCGACAAGTCGATTACATGGGAGGATCTAACCTGGATCAGAGAGGCTAGCGGAGTACCAATCGTCCTCAAGGGTGTCCAAACTGCAGATGATGTCAGGTTAGCGGTTGAGTACGGGGTTGAAGCAGTCTTCCTGAGCAACCATGGTGGTCGATCTCTGGATGGGTAAGTTTTGAATCTCGAGCTATCACTGGAGATTGGCAGACAAACTGACAATGGTTGGACAAAAGATCGCAAGCCTCTATCCTAGTTCTGCTAGAGCTTCGAGAACAGTGTCCCGAAATTTTCGAGAAGCTCGAAGTCTACATCGATGGCGGTTTCGAGCGTGGCTCGGATATCCTCAAAGCAATCGCCCTCGGAGCTACAGCTGTGGGCATCGGGCGACCGTTCTTGTACTCTCTCGTGTATGGTCAAGATGGTGTAGAGCATCTCTCTCAAAGTAAGTCCTCGTTGCTTGTCATCTGATCTATTCGGGTATACGCTGACCATTGAACGCGCATTAGTTCTGAAAGACGAGTTGGAGACTTCGATGAGACTTTGTGGCATTACCAGCCTCAGTCAAGCTGTCCCCGCGATGGTGAACACTCTAGATATTGATCATTTGGTAGTTTCTGAGGATAGAGCACGGCAAAAGAAGCCTATGAGAAGGCCAAGGTCAAAGCTCTAGGCTGTGAATAGGCCCGCATAGATACCATGGCAATCATACATCAGTCCTCTCATGATCACAACCGTGGGATGCGAATGGTAGCAAGATGTTGAGGAAACTGAGGATTGGGTCGATGTAGTTTGAAACCACTGAGGCAAGCGGAGCAAATCATGACACTTCTTATGTCTTCGAAACGTATGGCATGATACATGTTGGTACTCAAAGTACTTGTTAGCACTTTGCCAATGACCAGGATAGCCGATAGAGTCGGACACGAGCATCATGCGGAGTAGAGTTGGGAAAGCAGTGGTGGATTGCATGATTATTAGGCTGATCGCTCTATGGGGAGATCATGCCTTAAGAGTCTTCGCAAATGCCTCAACGGCCTCCAAAATCGTACCATCAGGTTCCAGACCCAAGCCATAAGCCCTGCTCACATCAAACCGAGCAGCCCATGTCTCCACAATAGCCAAGATGGCGGCATCCTTCTTTTCTTCGATGAGTGCCAATGATTCTTTGCCACCGACCTTCTCCACCGCATCAAGAATCTCCTGCACCGTAACGGTGATACCAGGTAAGTTAACGACTCTCGATTCCCCAAACTTCTCTTTCGGCACATCCTTAACCTTAACAAGGTTCTTCACGACCGTAGCGGGGCTACAGACCCAGACTTCAAGATCACGGCTAACAGGCAACACATTTTTGATGCCCTTCAGAGTCTCACGAACAATACCTGACGCGAAACTCGATGCCGCAGCAGAAGGCGCGCCAGGTCGCACTGTGACTGTAGGAAGTCGCACAATGCGGCCGTCGATGAGCCCACGCCGCGAGAAGTCCTCCACTAGCAACTCGATAATCAGCTTCTCGGTGCCGTACGATGTCCGCGGCTTCGGCACAGTCTCGCTCTCGATAACAGGCTGACGCGGACCATAGACTGCACACGAACTAGTAAAGACGACCGTGGTGCCGGGGTAATTATTCCGGAGGTGATCGAGGACGGCTCGGACGGAATCGAGATTGACTTTGAGGCCTAGGTCGAGGTTCGCTTCCGCCCCGCCGGACATGAGGCCGTGCAGGAGGTAGACAGCTGAGAACTGCCTCGAGAGCAGAGAGCTCACTGCTGCCGGGTCGGTGAGGTCGGCTTTCAAGGAATTGATCTTGTTGCCTCCTCCTGCCACGTCGGCGGGGATGGGGGGCTCGATTACATCTGTGATTGTAAGGGTTGCTGAGGGGTCGTATTTGATGAGGGCAGAGACTAGGGCCTGGCCAACGAAGCCTGCGGCGCCAGTTACGAGGAATTCGTTTGACATTTTGGCTCAACTTTTGGTATGCAACTCTCTAGAGAAGGTCTTGTGGAAGCAAAGTTCTACCGTCAGGGAATCTTCACGCGTCTCGTCACAAAAGAGACGCGATCGCGTGCCCCTCGGCTTTAACTGATCCGATTTCGCTGTGCCGTCATGAGGGGTACAGTTTGCACGCATGGGTACGTTGTCGGAGCTTCTCCTCATACCTCTGTCGCCTGGACATTTACCGAACATATCCGATGACTGAGGAACGGATATGCTGCCACACGCGAAGGTCAGACTTCAGAACATGTAGGTCGGACAGCTCGCCGATGCAGGTCGTCTAATCCGGGCATCGGTGAGTATGCCGATCATCCCACCGGTGGATCTCTGTCCGGGAGCTTCCCCGCACTGAGTAAGAGGGGCATCGCGCAGTCGGAGGTGGTGGGGGTGGTGAGGGATCCCGGCGACAGAGCTGAAGGCCGATGAAGTGATGCCGAAGAGCGAGGTGAAATGACGTGATGGTACAAAACAAACCCTCGGGGATCCGTATGAATTGGTTGAGAATTGCTACAGAGCGCCAACTGCCAGCGGAATCAAGCTCAATCAAGCCGAATTGACAGACCTATCTAAAGACAATTTGGGGTCAATACATGTAATATGGAATACGTGAGGTCAGTACCGCAATGATCCCAAGCACAATCGCTCATGAATTGTCATAAAATTGCCCCCCTATTCACTAGAGCCGACTATCATAAGCATTGAAGCTATTTTTGAGAAGCTAATAGTCATCACGTAGACTCGGCAATACAGGCCTGAAGGTCTCCAAAATCATCCTCGGATGCATGACCTTTGGTTCCTCCAAATGGGAGGGCTCACCATGGGTCCTTGATGAAGAAGAGGGACTCCAGATCTTGAAGGCAGCATATGACAACGGCATCAATACTTGGGACACGGCAGACACATATTCAAACGGAAAGTCCGAGGTGATCATCGGCAAGGCTCTGAAGAAGTTCAACATTCCGCGCCAAAAAGTCGTCATTCTCTCCAAAATCTTCAACCCCGTTCCAGACGATGACTCCAGGCCCGCCAGCGTCAATGATGGTCCACTCGTGAATCAGATGGGTCTGAGCAGGAAACACGTCTTCCATGCCGTCGACCAGTGTCTTGAACGTCTTGGCACGGATTACATCGGTAAGACTATTACGAGTAGCCCAACGAGAAACGTGCCAGATGCTGATAACCCGTAGATGTTCTTCAGATCCACCGCCTCGACCGCGAAACACCTCCCGAGGAAATCATGCGAGCCCTCCACGACGTCGTCCAGTCCGGAAAAGTCCGCTACATTGGCGCCTCGTCCATGTATACATGGGAGTTTGCCCGCCTGCAGTACATCGCCCGGTCCAACGGCTGGACAGAGTTCGTCTCAATGCAACCATTCTACAACCTTCTCTACCGCGAAGAGGAGCGGGAAATGCTGCCGTTCTGCCGAGCAAGCGGTGTCGGTGTGATCCCATGGTCACCGATTGCTCGCGGACTGCTGGCGAAGCCCCTCGCCAAAGAGAATGATGAAGGAACCTCGCTGCGTAGTCAGACAGATAAGAAGACGCAGGCGTGGTTTGCGGATGCGAACCTGGATATCGTAAACCGGGTCGAGGAGATTGCGAAGAAGAAGGGTGTCAGCATGGCCCTTGTATCAACTGCGTGGGTGCTGCAGCAGGGATGTTGGCCAATCGTAGGCTTGAGTTCCGAGAAGAGGATCAAAGAGACGATAGGGGCACTCAAGGTAAAGCTGACAGAGGAGGAACTGAAATATCTGGAGAGCGAGTACCGACCCAGGAGTATTCAGGGTATGTAGATAATTACAAACGTACGAATGGGAGGCTTTGGGAACCAAGGGATAGCTACGAAGCCCGTTTTCTTTGGTGATCATGAACCAGGTCTTCCCATCTGATACTCCACGTTTGCGAAATCTTGACCACCAATTGTTGCACCATCCGCGTTTAGCGATGTCATGTCGAACTGGAATACTGGGGACAGACCAAAACTCATGTCATAGTCAAAGAAAAACTCTCCCTCTGGGCCCATGAGAGTCCCATCAGCACTACCACCAGCAAGCTGGGGATCGATGACTTGTGACTGGTCCCCGTTGACCGGTTGCGTATTCAATACCTGCGCTGATGTATCTCCACGGCCAGATTTCAACGTCCTAGCCATGCGCTCGAGACCAGGCGCCATGAGATTAGCTAAATGCCACTGACCAGCTGGTAGAGATCGGAAGTGCCGCACGAGGCTTGTGGTCAGGTTCCAGACGCGGTCCGGCTCGATCAAGTCTCCACCGTACTTGACTGCCACCTTAATGAGGAACATGCAGGCAAATGCCGTCATGCAGTGCAGGTACGAGGGCATTCCCACTACCCCTGCGGCGACGTCCGGGTCGGTGATGATGAAGTCAATGGTTGATGTCGCTACCGAGATAGCTGTTGCGGCGCAGTCGAGGAAGTGGTGCGGTATTGGGCTGTCTCCAGAAAGGCCCCGGAAGATGTGAGAATAAAGATGGAGTTTGGCGAAGTGAAAGTGTAGGAGAGCCCCTTTGCGAGGGAAGCGGCCTATGTGTTGATATTGTTCTATGGTGAATTAGTACAACCATCGTCACAATATTGAGCAGAGGACTGACGCACCTGATAGCGTTTCAGACCAATGTTTGATCCAGTGGTCGAGCTCCTTGTTGAAGTGAGTGATTTGGTGGACGTAGGCTCGTGGCGTCGGTTGACCCTTGTCAGGCCCGAATAGCTCTCGTATGCTACCAATAATGCCCAGGAGGGCAACTTGACTTGCGAGGCGCTTGTCCTCCTCAGTCGATACCGGTGATCGGAGAAAGCTCTCCCATTGTTGCATGGACGAGTCCTCCTGCACAATCGCCGGTCTCCCATACAAGGTGGCAAGATGTTGGTCGCAAATGTTCAATATGTACCACAACCGTGCCCCATCGGCAGCCTCCTCGCTCTTCTCTTGTATGGCGCGGGTATAGCTGTTGTGTAGATTACATTCCGCCGCTCTCCTGATTGCATACCCAGACAACATCCAAGACATGTCAGAGAGCCAGTACGACGCCACGCACATGGCGCGGAGGTAGTCACGGTTCACTCGCCGATCAAACATTGATCTCTCTGTGAGCCTCCTGAACTCCGAGCTGCAGATACCATACAGGCTGTTTGCTTGTGGATCATGCAGCGCGGCAACTGTTAGGGTCGCCGCAGCCAGTATAGGGCTTTTGCGACGCAACTCATCCAGTTGTTGGTACTTGCACCCCACGCCATACATGAAAGCATCGAGGCGGTCTCGATAAAGACGGAAAAGGCGTTCGGCATCGTCTAGGCGCAGGGCACCTCGGGCAATGAAGTCATCTTGGGCCGGACTGGAATGGCCCTCCGGGGCGTCTGGCGATCTGAGCGCCCTCAGCTTTGTAAGAGCGTAGAGTGAGTGGATCGGTACGTGGGGGAGGTTTTCGTCTTCTGGGGATATTTTGGGGGAGTTGTCGCACGAGGGACCGTGGTTGTCCTGCCCGGCCACGCCGAAACGGGTTGCGTTGGCAGCCAGCCCGGGGCCAGACCGGCTCTGCTGTGACGGGGACTCAGCTGCTTTCTGAAGCGTTGAACTCTGTAGTGCCGCTGGCTCAGGTAGCCCCATCTTCTTGGTGACTTCTCTCAACGTGTTGTGCAGGTTCTCAATGTCTTGTAAGACTGCTTCGTTGTACCTTTAAATGGTAAGTCGACTCAACGCCTCATCTCTCTTTAGGTCTTCGCTGGGGTCTTACTGTGTTTTCTCGTCGATGATGCTCTGCAGGTTCTTGCCCAAAACACAACCCAGATTTCTTTCGGAACATCGCCGACATGGTGGTCCGCTCTCGTCCATTAGACATTTGATCTTGGAGCTTGGTTAGACTTGAGGCTCTTTCAACCCTTCGATCCAGATGATGATCGCCTTTGCATACCTTGTGCTTTCTACAGGCTGCACAAGCCTTGATCTTTCGGGAAATTTGCGGAAAAGACTGCTCCCCGTTCCCGGCCGTCATCAACTTTACAGGTCTAAAGTATCAGTGTGTGATCTGCAAACCGTAGACAAGAACTGTTTATCCTACCGTCATAAACTCCATGTTGTCATTGGCATCAGACCATGTTCTCTTCGCCATGGTGGAAACCTCGAGCCTCCGGATGAGGCTGGCTGTAGAATCTCGCACTCGAATCTCGCTTGGCTAGTTGGAGTCATCGGCCGTGAGGAGGATGAAAAGAGGAGAAGTTCGGCTCCAAAACACGCAATGGCCCGCGCGAGTCGACCGCGTGGTCGGCACTTGTGTGGAGAAAAGAACAGGGGGCCAACGCTGTCGAGACTCAAGGGGGTGAGATCGAATGGCTTCCCTCCCCCGACAGCTTAGAAAGCAGTTGGAGATGATTGAAGGCTCGGAGTTGACCCCGCTTCCCCGCATAAAGCTGGGATCCGTCTCCCAACGTTGTCCATCTTTGCGAGGTTACATCCAATTCAACCTCATTTATAATTGAGCCTAACGTTTCTCCTTTCGAACTGTGAACAGAACATGGTGAACTGAGTTACACTCTCTGTTTAGGTCTCGATCGGTTGTTGATGTGGACAAAAAATCTTTTCTTCTGAGTGCGAAGCTCGTTTTGAACTCAGTGCAGACTACCTACAGCAGCACTTCACCGAACAAGAGAAGTTCTGTCAAAAGAAAGATGACAACGCCAATTCGAAACCATGATGCACTGCAATTTGAAATCGGACAGCCTCAGCCAATGTATTGAGCGCATATATGCTCGTTGGGCTGGAGGCTGATGGCTCCCGTCAATCTTCAAGGAGGCGAACAAGCTTTGGGGGGCTGAAACACTGCGACGATGGATACCCCTATTCTTCTTCGGCTTCTGCAGAAGCGATCCAGAAGCAGGCGTGAAAGAAGCTTTGCCTAGTCGCTCATACATGGACTAGTGCTGCCCAATGGCAGCATTTGACCGGTCCATCTCGGGTTCCCAAGCCTGGCCACGAACCTGGTTGATGGCGGCAGTACTGAGCTGCCCACCCCGAAATCATAAGGTTAGCATTGCACTCCATGTCATTGGCCTGGAGGTGGAATTTTCTTACAGAGCTGTCCCCTGCTGCCGAAAGCTTGGGGAGATGAACGACGCGTCGTCTCAACATCGAAAGCTTCCATCTCTTGACAGTCATGTCTCCAATCTTCTACTTTATTGCCCAAAAAGAGCCCAGAAGGGGACTGGGCGTCCGGAGCTTCTTTTCATTCATCGCTATTCCCTAGCGGAATGAACAAAACTCCGTCGACCCCATGATCGCGCCATGATGGTACTTCAACTTTTTATAGCAGCTCTTGCTGTGACGCATGCCCTCGCTAGCCCCTTGAGCGGCCGGCCTTGTGGAAACGACTCCACCGCAAAGCAGGGTCATCGGAATCTCTTATACGTAACGAATTGGGGGATTTATGGTGCGGGCTACCACCCCGATAGCCTTCCTGTAGAAGACATTACGCATGTGCTATACGCTTTCGCAGATATAACATCGAACGGAACAGTGTAAGTCTCGCGTCTTCTTTCGAACTTGAGTTCCGATCCTGATCCACGTCCCTGTCTAGCGTCTCATCAGATCCATGGGCCGACACCGGAAAGCCTTTTGGCAACGAAAGCACCACAGAGCCTGGCCATAACGCTGACGGCCTGGTTAAACAGCTCTACCTGAAGAAAATGGCCAACCGCAACATGAAAGTCATACTATCCATAGGCGGCTACAACTGGTCACCCAAATTCGAACCCGTCGCTGCCGACAAATTTCGCCGCGCAACCTTTGTTTCCTCCGCCATCAATCTCATGGCAGACTTTGGGATGGATGGCATCGATATCGACTACGAGTACCCAAACACTACTGAAAAGAATCAAAATTGCGTAAAGCTCCTGTCCGAACTTCGCACAGGTTTGGACGACTTTTCGAAGAGCAACGCAGGCGGATACCACTTCACTCTAGGTTTTCCTGCACCAGCAGGTCCTCAAAACTACAAAGCATTTGACTTCCAAGAGATGGACAAGTCTCTCGACTTCTGGTCACTCATGGCATTTGATTTTGCCGGTGCCTGGGAGAACGTCACAGGCCACCAGTCCAATGTCTTCCGCAGCAAGCGAAACCCGCAGAGCACCAAGGCGAGCGTCGAGAGGGCCTTCGAGGACTACGTTGAAGAAGGAAGGATCTCTCCTGCCAAGATCAACTTAGGTATGCCCTTATACGGTCGCGCCTTCGGCAACACCAAGGGTTTGGGGAAATCGTACAGCGGACTACCGAATGGTACGCTCGGCCAAGCTGGAATCTACCTCTACAAAGACCTCCCTAGGCCCGGTTCGACGGTCCATTGGGACAGTGCAGTCAAGGCCACGTACTCATACAACAACGCGACGCGAGAGCTGGTGACGTTTGACAATATAAGAAGCACAAAGTACAAGCAGGCTTATATCAAGAAGAAGAAACTAGGTGGTGCCATGTTCTGGGAGGCTACGGGCGATAAGGCAGGTGACGAGAGTCTGGTTCGCAGTATGGCGAAGGGGATGGGCAAACTTGAGAAGTCGCAGAACTTGCTGTGGTACCCGACTTCTCAGTACGACAACATTCGCAATGGGATGAAAACAAAATTTATTGTGCCTCCAAGCAATAGATCATAAAATTCGCCGAAAATCACGGGCTACATGAATTCATTGAGCTTTTCAAAGTCGGGGTATGTGTGCAGATGCAAGTAAATGTGATCATGCGAAAACGTTGGGATAGAAGTGATTTGGGTGCTTGTGAGGCGGGAAAATTAAACTATTGTCTATCAATTTTGAAGATAAAAGCATCTCGACGATTGTGTGTAAGTGGAGGCAGTAGAGAGGCATATGGGCTTTATAGTTCTGCACCACTGCCTGCGTTTGTCATGCTTTTGCGCCGTATCGATTTCGCTGTGATCGCATTAGTGTGATCATCCTGGTGCAGCTCCAGCTAGGTAGCCACCTGTGCCACTATTAAGTGCCCAAGCCTGATGAGGGGTATGCAAGGTGTAGTGCGATTAAAGCTACAAACACAAGACCTCCATTAATGCAGACCGTTCATGTCCCTGAAAAGTGTGATAGCATGAGCTGATCTGGGTAAAATAGTGCGAGCCAATCCCCGTCATCAGCGTCCGAGGCTGACGCAAGGCAAGACATCGAGCACATCTTCATTGGAGCTGAAGGTGTCTTAGTCTGTCAAGAGGCTGGCTGAGGTTGAGTCCGTCAAGTATTGCGACACCTGCAGGTCGCCCAAGATTGATTGAACGCGGGCCCAAGCGTTTCTCCCCGCAGGATTGGACGAGGTACGCGGTGGCCATTCACAAAATGTGTCCTTCATGTAATTCCTTGTTGACAATCACGCTAGACTAAACGTCCATTACATTTCCCCGCTTCAATAGTCGCTTTCCGGGGCCCAGGTAACATGGCCCAGATCGCAGTCTGGAACCCAGTCCGTTGGATAAGCCTAGCTTGAGCGGCTAGCTGGCTGACTTTCATCACATTTGTTCCATGGGAATTGTGATATGTACATATTTTGTGAGACAACTCAGCTTAGCATTTGGTCTCGGGATATTCCCTTACCCGAGATAGGAAAGGTTAAGTTTCAATCCATGACTGCGTCTGGTTAACATCTTGCTGTCCACGTGCGCTCAGCTGGGACAATATCTTGACTTCACACACGACAACAAGTTATGAAAGAGTCTCGATCAATTATCCCACTCAGTTACTAGGACCGCAAGACTGATAGATGAGGTGGCAGCGACGCAACAAGACTAGCTTCTTTCCGCCTGCCCTGCTTGAAAACACGGAAGCGTACATGTACATGTAATGTCGGGTTCAGGAGCGGACTCGAACAGACATCAATAGTCAGAGTTCACTCCTCTTTGGGATTGAATTATACACAGCTGAGCTGTAGTCGAATGAGTAACTTTGAACCATAGTTTGCATGGCCACAGCTGGAACGGACTCAAGGACATAAAGACTGGATGGGATCGCCCTCAATTCCAGGGTCCTGTCAGGAACAAAAGCAAAGCACAGATACCTTCGGACTGTTAGCTTTAATCCCATTCTATTCAGGTCCAATTTTCCACCATCTTTCAAAATGGTCACGTACAGCATCACAGTCCAGAACCAGTCTGGTTCTCAGCAGCAGTATGTCCTCTTCAACAAGCCACCAGTGGTTACTGGCAGAGTCCAGGGCCAAATTTGGTCCAACGTCTTTGCGACTGGAAACACCCCCAGAGGCTCCCGGACGAACTTTACATTCTCCGGCCAGTACTCTGCTGTTGTTGCAACTTCCCAGGGCAGCCCTTCATCGGGTGTTCAGGTCAACGTGAGCGGCGAAAAAGATGTCACCCTCGGTTCTGTCAAGAATGACGGGACCGCCGTCCCAGGCAGCACTCTGCAGCTTATTGTCGCTGGAGACGCACCGCAATTCAGCAACAATCCTCTTCCTAACAGCGCCTTCTCGAATGCCTTTGAAATCCAAACCGGCAATGATTTTACTTTTGCCCAAGCTAAGCAGGGTTAGTTCTCTTATTCCGAATATTGGAGGTCAAGCTATGCATAAAACTGAGCTGAATGTCATGTCAGGAAACTACCTAATCGGTCTTGGAGTTTCCAGGACTGGCAATGGCCAGGATGGACCTTTGGCTGCTTTCGTTCCCGAGCCCAGTGTACGATACCAAATTCAGCCTCTCAACACCTACTACTTGACAGTTGGCAGCTACCGCAAAGGAGAATTTATTGATGTGAGCATGATCGGAGGCAGCATTGTGGCTGTTGACTTCAATAGGTTGCAGTCCAACGTGGTTATCGTTCACGACGACCGTGGCAACCTTCAAATCCAGGCCTAGTAATGGATTGGATTTAGTTATTTAGGAATATCACGGATCAAAATCAATCACTAGAGTCGTTTTGACATAACTAGAAGCATCGAACTTGTACCTTACCCTCAGTGGAGACGCTATCTACGACTAGGTGCTTACTTGTCTTCGTCGGTAATGCGAAATTCAGCACGCGATTCTTTCCTCGGCCGCAATTATCCTGTCGACATTACGAGCAACGTTCATTTCGACAGCGTCGTTGTGACTGTGATCATGTTTCTCCGCTTTCGGTGAAGGGTGTGGATAACCCGTCTGTTGCGATGCTGGGGACGGAGCACGTCATCGGAACTCGCGCACGGAGGACTCTTCGCCCATCCGGCGAGCCTGGTTTGCAACGCCGGAAGACGGGCATGCGGCTTATCTAAGAGCCAAACTTTTAAAGTCTTGTCCTTGGAGGCTGCACGATGACATTTGCTTCCCATTTCCAATGGAATGGTCAATTGAGCGACAAGCCTCAATCGAATTAAATCGCAATGCAGCTCACGACGTCAGCGCTGGCTTCGGCGGCTTTGTTCCTCAGCTGCAGTGTTGCGGCACAAGGCGATGCTCAGACGCCTCTCGTCGGCCCCGCCCGGGATGCCATATCGCCGTCTTCACGGCCAAACATTGTCTTCGTCTTGACCGATGATCAGGACCTGCACATGAACTCTTTAGAGTACATCCCGCTGATTCAGAAACGGCTTATTGAAGAAGGGACATTGTACAAGAAACATTTCTGCACGACGGCAGTTTGCTGCCCGTCGCGTGCGAGTTTATGGACTGGCAAATTGGCTCATAACACCAACGTCACCGACCTCAACCCACCATACGGTAAGAGATTCACTCGTCCAGTTATCTGACTGACAGAAGACGGGGCTTATGAGCATACACTAATTGGTTTTGCAGGTGGTTTCCCCATTTTTGTGAAAAATGGCCACAATGAGAACTATCTCCCCATTTGGCTACAAAAGGCCGGATACAGCACCTATTACACGGGTAAAATGTTCAATGCCCATACTGTTTGGAACTATGACAGCCCGCACTTGAAGGGCTGGAACTCCTCTGTGAGTGTCCTGCTTTACTAGTCAACCAATCTCCCCTGCTGACTTTGTTTCAGGATTTCCTCCTGGACCCTAACACCTATGACTACTACAACGCCACCTTCCAGCGTGACCATGAGAAGCCGGTCAACCATCTCGGCGAGTACTCGACGGATCTAGTGGCCGAGAAGGCCTACGGGTTCCTGGATGAAGCTGTAGATGCCGGCAAGCCCTTCTTCCTTGGCATTGCTCCCATCGCACCTCACAGCAATGTCAACTCCAGTATCCTTCTCCCAGTCAAGGGCCCAGACGACGATGTGCCCGTCTCTGATGACAAGTTCAGGGTCAGCATCCCGTTAGCTGCTAAGAGGCATGAGCACCTCTTTGAGGATGCCAAGGTTCCGAGAACAGAAAACTTTAACCCTGACAAGCCTTCGGGCGCCGACTGGGTTCGTCGCCAGCCCAAGCTCACGGATGAGAACGTGGCATACAACGATAAGCACTATCAAGGACGTCTACGTGCCCTACAAGCAGTCGATGAGCTTGTTGATGGTCTCGTGGAGAGATTGGAAAGGCATGGCATCCTGGACACCACCTACATCTTCTACACGACGGACAACGGCTACCACATTAGCCAGCACCGGCTGCAGCCCGGCAAGGAGTGTGGATACGAGGAAGATATCAATATTCCACTGATCGTTCGTGGACCTGGTGTTCCCAAGGGAGGCGTGACTGAAGCCGTAACGGCCCACGTTGACCTCGTTCCCACCATCCTGTCGCTCGCGGGTGCCCCGTTGAGAGCCGACTTTGATGGAGCCCCGATCCCGCTCTCGACAAAGGACCTGACGGAGTCCCCCTTGACTCGCGAGCACGTTAATGTTGAGTACTGGGGCTGGGCAATCACTGAGAGCAAGTTCGGCTTCAATGGCGATGACACGAAGCGCATCTTCAACAACACGTACAAGTCGCTGAGGGTTGTTGGGGAGGGCTACAACCTCTACTACTCTGTTTGGTGCACCAACGAGCACGAGCTGTATGATATGACTGTAAGTTTGCTTAAATCCGTGGTTGACATCCTGCATGTGAAGAAGTAGAGCGTATGTGCTGATAATTTGCCCAATCTAGACGGACCCCGGCCAGCTTCGCAACCTCTTGCACGCCGACGAGGCCGCCCTTGCTGCAGGCGCGACCATTCTCGGCTACCCTCTCAAGAAGGTCCTACCCAGACTCGACTCCCTACTCTTCGTTCTCAAGTCTTGCAAGGGCACGACATGCTCGCAGCCATGGAAGGCATTACACCCTACAGGAAACGTCGGCAGTCTACTCGAAGCCCTCGCACCGCGCTTTGACGAGTTCTACACCCAGCAGACGCGTGTGCAGTTTGATCACTGCGAGCTGGGTCACATTGTCGAGGCCGAAGGGCCGCAGTTTGAGCATGATGGAGCTGTGTACTGGAAGGGTTCCAAGTGGAGCGACTGGACCTGAGCACCCTTGGCTGTATGTAGGAAGCTGTTCTGAGGCATCGCCGGATAATGAAAGCTGAATGGACTACCTACCACTTGCCGATTATCTGCCCTTCGTACGAGAGTAGTGGGGTTCTACAGCATCAAAAGGCGGTGAAAATTCCCTCAGCCAAGGTCTGCAAGTGTAACATGTCCAGCAGCGTGACCGTGCGTGATCTCGAACAATCGCAACGTGACGGAGGCAACGGCACGCGGCTAACTGCTCGATCAAGGGCCCGCCGTGCGACATCATGACCCCTCTTCCCCCACATTGAGATCCGCTTCGGAACTAGGAATTTAAGCTCCCTTGCTTTCCGAAACTAGGAAAACCAACATTCCCCCAACTCCGACCAGCTTAGACTTCGGGAAACGCTTGACATCTTAAAGCAAGTGATCCCTGACGTAAGACTACTCGATTCGTCATCATCTGATGGAAAAAGGTGGTTGTAGCTTGGGTGGGACACTCTACGGAAAACATCTCAGTTTTGACGACGACTTTCCCACGCCTTAATTCCGTGCGCATCCAACGTTCACCTCTACTAAACGCGAAGTCCATTCCCAAATAAATCGCTATGGCGCCGTATCAAGGTCATTGTAACTGTGGCTCGGTGAAGGTCACAGTCAACAAGAAGCCGGATAACATCGTCATCTGTCATTGGTAACTCCACCATTCGCATTGCCTCCACAGCTGCCAATCGGGGGACACAAGTTGACACGATAGAAAATTTCAGTTCAAACTGCAAACGAGCTGGTGGCCGTACGTTGGAATTCGACATCTTTATATTTTCTAAACTGACTGCAATGGAAACATATAGCCTTCTCCATGAACCTATTTGTCGACGATGGTGAATGGGAGATCGATGATAGCCAAAACACGCTCAAAGAATACCAGGACTCAAACACTGATTCTGGAAACACCATTCAGGTAAGTTGAAACTCTTCCTCTCATAAGGTAGAAACCGTCTCTGACATTACGTTTCCAGCGATGTTTTTGCGGAAAGTGTGGAAGGTAAAGCTATCAACGACTTAGGTGACCTGTCCATCCTGTACTGACGTATCTGGCAGTCCTGTCAAGACCACAACAAAGGCGATTCCGGGCAAAGCTCTCATTAAGGCGTCGTTGTTTGATGACATCCCAACGGAGAAGAGGGAAGTGTACGGACAGAAGGCAATCAACTGGGCGTAGCGGATGATGTAACCGAATTTGAAGTTACGGAATGTGGCGTTTGAGGCGAGAGGGGGCGCACTTTGGCGGATGAGGCTGGGTAAAAGTGACCGAAGATAGGCAGATTGTCGATATCTGTGTTTGATATTGAATTCAGAAAAAACTAGATGGCATTTCGCTTCCATCCAGAATCTGTCAAACGATGAGAGAAAAGGTATTCCAACTGCCCGAATGAAGCAAAAAGTCTATAGTGATCGCCTTTGTCAATTACTCGTCCGCCTCCCTAAACGTTCAAGTCCGCCCCTGTATGCCCAAACTCGCTCTTATACGTCGTATCTATGATCCCAGTATCTACAATTCTCGTATCGGTGCGATTGGAAGGGAAGGTGCGGTTGAATCCCTGATACGGACCCAGACTTGGCGGGAGATCCTGGACTCTCGTTCCCCAGTCACTCTCACGCCGGCCAAGAGTAAGCACCAGCTCCTGACCCTCAGTGAAGAACTTATGATCAACCCAGCTTTTTCTGTAAGGCTGACCATTCAAAGTCGCCTTTTGGATGTAGATGTTGCGGTAGGTCGGATCAAAATTGATGTTGCGGACCTTGGCCGTCCTGCCTGTTTGCGGGTGCGTGATTTCGAGGCTCTCAAAGAAGGGTGGAATGATCAGATACACATCTTGCCCGGGGTTTGGGAAGAGACCCATCATGGAGAAGGCCAGGAATGATCCCATGGCCCCGCTATCATCGTTACCGGGAAGCCCGGCTGGGTCAGGTGAAAAGAATGAAGGGATGTAGAAGTGGGCTCGTCTTGCTGAGAGAGCTGGACGACCGGCGTAATGGTACTGGAAGACTGTGAGGAAGGCTGGCTCGTTGCCAATGTAGGTGATGTTTTGGTCATGCAAGAAGTTGAGCCTCCGAACAAAGGCGTCCGGACCTCCGAGAGTGTTGATGAGCGTTCCTTGGTCGTGAGGAACAAAGCTATCGAGGTTAGTTACTAGAGGTTCCCATTGCCAATCGCATTCCATGTCAACTTACAAGCCATATTCCCAAAGACTACTCTCAAATGTTTCTGGGCCGTTGTTCTGTAGGGAACAGGAGCTTTGACCGTCTAGATTACTGCAGTTGAGCGGATTCTGGTATGCCCAAGTCTGATTAAGGAACTTGGGCTCGAAGAATCCTCTGAACCCTGTGTCGGTACCGTTGAAGAAAGCTGATTTCTGGTCCTGCTTGTACAGATTGCGCCAGTTGCTACTCGAGGAAAGATACTTCTCCCGATCGTCCCCAT